TTTTAATGTAATAAAATAACATTGCCAAGAGTGGAATATCAGAGCAGTTTACCTCTATGAACTTTTATGAAGCGGCCCCTTATTTGTGAATATGAATACATATGGCTTGCCCTAGTCAACACTCTGCGTACTATATAGAAGTTGTTCAGAGATCTGTCTATGTCAAAAACTTTTACAGTCCTACTTTTTTTTTAAAAAAAAGATCGTCCAACTATGATATGGCAGATTCTAGATTATGTAAGGTTTATGCTCATCCCTAAATTCCTGTGTGTGTCTTTATGAAGCTTGATGGTTTCCTTCTAAGCATATTAGCCTGGTTAGAGATAGCCTGAAGCATGAGGAGCAATGTCTGTCTGTCTGTCTATATAAATATGATGTTAATTGCATAAATGCAACTACATGGTATTTATAGGGGAACCAGGGAGGAAACGCCAAGACAGACACACATTCCACATCCATAGATTGATATGATAGGTTAAGAATCCAGATCACTTTCAAATCAAGCTCAACTCCTGGAGACTTACAGTAAATGGGCACATCCATTTAGTTTTACATGATATTGAAGTACTTTGCCATTGCTTTCTGGCATAGCTTTTGACTTCTCAGTCTAGACTATAGCCTGGACTTCCCAGATGGCCCCCATCCAAGTATTAACCAGAGCCAACCCTGTTTAACTTTCTAGTTCAGGTTAACAAGATGCTGCCTAGGACTCAACAACTGCTACTTAGCTTAGGTTTTCCTTTTTTTTTTTTATTTCCTTCCAACTGGAATGATTAACTGACAGTTCATGCCAGAAGCTAAAAAATTAAATACCTCTTCCTAACCTCAATGCCAAAGCTGCTTACATATACCCCTGCAGGTGCTATTAGATAATAATGGTATTAGGTCACTCACTCTTTCTCACATGAACCTACTTCACAAGGCTTTTGTTATATGAAAGAAAATTGGAGGTGGCAGTGCTATACACACCATCTTTAGCTGTTCCATGAAAAAGTAAGATATAAATAATAAGATCAATTGCTTCCAGTGAGGAATGGTGAACTGACGCTCCTCAAACAGTGGGAGACATTATGGCTGAAAGACAGCTGGATGTTGGATCTGGACTGCTGAAAATTCTCTCCAGAATAAGGAGGGATATTGAGATTACCCATATGTACTCTGGACAGCTGGTTTTTGTTTTTGTTTTTGTGAGTAGACGGTAGGAACTGACTTTTTGTGGTCTCTTGCAAGCAGCCAAGAGTTGCGGGATTCCATTGAGCTGAGAGCCATTAACATAGCCTTTTACAGACTCAGTTCAACCAAACCTCATATTTTTAATCACTTTGGAGTTTATTTTTTTCCTGCCTGTTAAAGATTGAAAACCTTCAGAACCACAAATCTGGTTTTATTCACTGGGTGAGTTCTCCTTCAATCCATTCAGAAAGAAAATTACGAGTTTAAAGTTTGTAAGAATTTTCTTTTTGGAATATATAGCAAAACTGTGATTACGGATAATTACTGTTGGCTTTAGAAAGTTTTAAATGGATTAAGGGCTCAGATGGACTTGATTTAAGACTTTGAAATTAACTGAAAGGATCCTTTCTCATGGGAAAATTCCTTTGTTTATATTTGGAAATTGATAAGATGACTTTGAGGGTTGGACACTAGAGGGTTACTAGAGGGTTACTACCACTAGAAGGTTCAGTTTTTTAGCTATATAGTGGAATCAGAAGATGTTATTGAAGAGGAACAAGCTTCACTGAATAAAACTGAAGCTGACTTACAGGTGGATTTAAAAATCATAGCCTACAAGAACGAGATGGAAATAATGGAATTATAAATGTAACTGGATGAAGATTTAAAAAATAAAGAAGATATACAAATAATAAACCAGAAGAGTGATGTGGATAATTTTCTCATACTGGATTTACAAAAGGGATTTGCTGGAGTTGCCACACTGAAATTACAAAAGGGGCTTGACAAAGATGACAAGAACTGTGAGAGAAGAGACAGAGTATGAGAAAGCAGATGTTAGAACTTTCTTTGAGGAATTTAAAGATCATTGGGAGAAAGAAAAAAGATTACAAAATTGGTTTATTTGATCAAGGTTAAAATAATGAGTTGCTATCTCTGGTGATGTTTAATGTTTTTTCCTAAGTGGGACTGGATGATGATGGTTATTTCTGGTAATTTTTAATTTTTTTTTTCACTGGGTCTGGAATTTGACTATTTGAAGGAAGAAATAGGAGGATCTGTTTAAATAGAAATGGAGATATAAATATAAAAGGTTTTAACTGGATGTAATAGATAACGTTTGTAATACTTACGTTGTTATTTCTGATAACCCTTACTGAACTTTCGCTGATTAATATGGAGAGATGAGGCTTCAGAGGTGGGCTTATAGAGAATGGGGTAAGGTATGGAATGAAGAGGTGTTTGGTTGTATTTTAAGAGATAGTGATAAGTTGTTAATGTTAACTATACTTCCTGGGGATGAAAGGGGAGGCTTATTTATTCTTTCCCTTATTTTTTCTTATTTCTTTTTCTCCACTTTTAAAAATTGTAATTTTTAAATGTATTTCTATATTACATAGTTGTATTAGTTTTATTTGTATAATAAAATTATTGAAAAAAAAAGAATAAATAAGATCATGGCAGTTGCACAGGGCATATCATGTCTAGTTTGAATGTAAATTTCTTTTGTGTAAATTCTGCAAAAATTAGGATCTCTGATCATGTACACTTGAACACACATTCTTTAAAAGTGTAGAGATCAGGACCTAAATCAATCAATGTCTCCCAAATATAGATGTGCTTACATTCATTCCTTGAATGTACATGCAAAGTACAAGATTAGAAACTGATAAATATTTTATTTGATATATGTAGTATCATAATGTCAAAGTTTTTGGATTATTTTGAATGAAATTCCTTAAATACTGAAACAGGTCTTGTGAAAGTTAGCCATTTATGTATTTATATAGATATGTTTTGTAGTCCTCTATCTGTCTACATGGAAATAAGTCCCACTAAACTCAACAAGATTGGACTTTTAGTAGAACTATATAGGATTGTACCAATAAACCATGGTCAATGCAATAGTCTCCTATCAATAAATCATGTTTTTCCCCAAACCAAATAATTACTTGTATGTCTTCCAATGTGTCCCATCAAAATGGAATCTTTTTCTGTTTAAGTCTATCAGTCAAAAAGAAGTACTTTCTTCTGTTATGCAATAGTCTAATTGGAATTTTCTTAAGCACAATTACATCTGTATTATCAATCTTCAGTCTTGTATTAAAACATTGCTGCAAAACTTGCTCTCTTGTCCTGTTTCCTCCTTTTTTAATCCAGAAAGAATGTTGACTCACCAAGTGGATTTCTCTTATCCTGCCACTCAGAAAGTCTCTTTAGCTGTAAATTGATTACATACAAATGTGATTGAGAAAATGAGGCTCTTGAGAACCTTGTGTCCGTATAGGCTGCATCACGGCTGTGAGCTTGATTGAACTCCTTTGACCCCCAGCTGGTCAACTCATGAGTCGACCACAAAAACCTCAGTTCCTGTAGTCTCCTCATGAGGAGTGGCTGTCTGGGGTGCATGTGGGTGATCTCACAATCTCTCCTTGTCCATAGAGTCTGCAGAGAGAATTCACTGTCTGGCTGCTGATCTCTGCCGCAGTGCTATCCCCACTCCTTCAGGGACATCTACTCCCCATAGATCCTTACCCAGAAATTAGATTTTTGTTAAAGGCCAAAATCTTTTATCATTTCCAGTTCTTTCTCTTTTTCCCTTTTAGAATTTATTGTTTTTCAACCACTCACTTTAAAACCATCTTTCCCTCCAATGTTGGTAATGATGCCTAAAATATGACCTCTCTGCCTCTTTCTCAACTTTAAGGCTTAATTATTGACTAATTGACTAATTATACAACTTGACTTAACAATAAATATTAAAATGTCTTTTTAATTAAAAACAAGGTTAACAGAAACAATACCTTTATTTTCTAATAATTGGTTCCAAAATGAAATTAAAGATAAAATAATTTTATATTAAGAGACCAAGGGCTAGATTACAAAATTTTTACAATGGACACTACAGAACAACACTTTCAGATTTACAGTTAGCAATATGCTTCACTTTAAAAGTAAATTCAAAGTGGGATATAGCAACACAGAGCAATAAAACGCTTTCAGATTATAAAAGTTAAAACCACAAAACAGCTTAGGAAAAGGAACAACCTAAATTCACCTATATTTAAGAACTAGTTGCCTGATGCATATTGTGACAACTGCATGCAGGAAAAGGTTAACCCTTCCTCTCAACCCCTTTGTTTATAAATTTCTACACTCTACACATACCCTGCATATGGATGGTTTAAAAAAAAATCTATTGATGTTAATAGATTTTAAAAAACATGAATCCATGAGGGGTGTGCATGACATGTTTATAAAAGACCATTTATGAGAAAGAAATCAAATATTTGCTCCACACATGTGATCCCAAATGTGTGAACCATCTGTGCATTTATTCTAGGGTAAAGTAAATCTGGAAGAGCTGCCACACATATTTAAAAATGATGTAAGCACATATGAGTTGGGCAAACTCCAGTGTTATTCAAGACATTTGGGCAAATTGGGAATTCTGATTGAAGTGTTCAGTCCACCAGTCTTCTCCAATCTGATGTTCTAGATGTGTTAAACTGGGCAACTTTAAGATGTGTGGACTTCAACTCCCAGAATTTGCCAGCCAGCAACTTCCAGAATTCTCTAGTGTGCTGGCTAGGGGATTCTGGGAGTTGAAGTCCACACATCTTAAAGTTACCAAGTTTGAAAAACACTGTTCTAGATGTTTGAGGACTCTTAAGTCCCAGAATTCCCTTTTGCCTTGCTGGCTAGAGATCCTGAGAATTCTACTCTTAGAATTTGAGGGACTACAACTAAGTATCCATGTCTTGCTCCCTTCTGTATTATATTGCTTCCTAAGTACCAAAGTCAAATAAATGTGTTTTTCTTCACAGGATGCAGAATAGAGAACTGTGATTCTTGTTTTAGTCGAGACTTTTGCACCAAGTGCAAACCTGGTTTTTATCTCTACCGAGGCCGTTGCTTTGGAGAATGCCCTGACGGTTTTGCCCGTTTAGAGGAGACTATGGAATGTGTGGGTGAGTGCTTAGATGTTGTTTCCTGTCTATTATCTTTCCTTTCCTTGTTTTGTCTAACCCGGCATCCTACCTTATATTGCAATACCTTTTGAATCTATTATATTTTCTGTATCTGATGAGATTATAGAGTCTGTTTATACGTAACCTGCTTCTATTTACAGATAGTCCTTGTTTAGTGACTGCAATTGGTTCTGGTGAAATGGTCATTAAGTAACACAGTGACTACTAAGCAAACCATATGGCTGAGAGAGAGAAGCACTGCAAAGATCACTCGTTGCTGCTGTTTCATTCAGATAAAGTTCTCTTGTACGGTGTTCTGTGCTGGACCTTTCTTTTTTCCTTTTTTCCTCTTAAGCTGCTTTTCTCCAGAGTACATTGTGTCCCTAAAAAGTGCTAACTGCAGGTTTACAAGTTCAGCTCTGTGATCTTGATTAGTTGATTAGAACCGTGCTGCCTGAAGCTGACCAGACCTTAGTCAGTTTCACACTGAAGGCTTTTGTTGATGTAAACTGGGGCATTGATCCCAAAGTTACTTTTTCATCACCATGGTAATTGTAAATGGTTGCTATCCAAGGCAGTCACTAAATGAGGATTACCTGTACCTGCAAAATGCCAGCGTGTTGTTTTGACCCCAGCTGATATGACCCATTCTTTATAAATCTATTCCACTATATAGCGTGAGAGTGAAGCAGTCTAAAAACAGCCTTCTCTATTGCCAACAAGGCATCTCCACATATGCGCTAGTTCCTGGCTTCCTCTGTAAATGTATTTACATATAATCCCATTCTAGAGGAGTCTTATACCACGTTGTGTGTTTCCTACACAGACCAGGTCATCAGCCATTGATAGGATGCTAGATCATCTTCAGGCAATGGTGGGAAGGATGTCAGAGTAACAAATCCTCTTTCTTTTGCATTCTTTGAATTATTGACAAATACGTTGGCGTGTGTGTGTTTAAGTAAAATTATTATCTTGTTAATAGCCCAAAATCTAACTGGAAGTTGACCTAGGTTTACAAGTTCACACATTACATCACTGCATTAAAATGTTGGCTATTGCTTGGTGTATAAGCAAAATGGAAATGGCTGATGTGCTATAATAAAGTTAAAGCAATGTAATTCATCTGACTGTTAATAAATCTAGAATAATGGGTCCCAGGGAAATATCTGTTTCTGAAACCTGATGGCGTTTCTCCCAATAAATCATAAGGATGCTCTGAAGCACTCCTGTGTTTAGCTACTTTGCAACTGAAGAAATCTTTTGTTCTTTCAAATCAGTTTTGACTCCTGGCAACTGTTTTCTGCAGTTTTCTTGCCAGCATTTTTCAGAAGGGCTTTGCCATTGCCGCCTTCTTGAGACTGCGAAAGGTGACTGGCCAAGGTCACCCAGCTGGATTTGTCACTAAGGTGAAATGACGACTCATCATCTCCTCGTTTCTAGCCTGGAGTCTTTCACCACTACACCAAATTGGCTCACAATTTAAGATAGGTTGCTATAAAAGTGTTTCTCAACCTCAGGAATTTTAAGATGTGTGGACTTCAACTCCCAGAATTCCACAACCAAATTCTGCTATAAAATAATCTTCCTTATTGTTATTAAGACATTATTGTTTGGGGTAAGAATAAACTATATTAAATCTTTATCCGCAGGTCGTCAAGAGATGGCTATAAAAATATTTCATACGTGTTAACACATTCCATATGAATGTTCATTATACTAATTAAATTCTGTCTAGATTTTGTTGGTGATATTGGTTATTAAGTGCCTGTTTTGACTGCAAGTTTTTTTAGAAAATTGGAAAATTATATCTTTATATAATTTAGTACCTTTAGTACCTAACGTTAGCTAGCAAGCCAGGGTGAAATGTAATATTTGCCAAAAGGATATGAACATCTTTAGTATCCAACTTTATTTTTCATTTTCTAAGATTTAAAGTACAAGAATTGTGGAAGATAAATTAGCTTTGCATCACACTATATCCTTCTGCATGTAAGATTCCCTTAAGTTGCATCTAAATTTTCCTGTGATTTCAAGTAAAGGCTTGAAATCAGTTAAACAAAGGATTTCTAGAACTTTCTGCTGTATTTTGAATAGGTGCTTTAAAATATTTCCATAAAGTTTGATGGATAACCAGATGAATTATTTCAGTTAATCTGAATAATTTCAATTATATTTTGGCTATACTGCATGTTTTTTTTAAATAAATAAATGGAAGATTTAGAAGATAGTTGTGTTAGGGCAATGTATTTTAGACCTATCCAGATATTACTAAATATTATATAGGCTTCCAGATTCTCTTGGACTCTTCATCAGGCTAGGGAGTAAACCTAATAAAAAGTTTGCATGTTTTCGTTTTCCTCCTAGGGGCCATATATTCTGAAAGGTGCAAACATTAGAAGACAACAGGCACTAACTAGTGTGTGTTTGGTTTCCTCAGAAGGTTGTGAAGTGGGCCCATGGAGTGAGTGGGCAATTTGCAGCACAAAGAACAAGACCTGCGGATTTAAGTGGGGTTTGGAAACAAGAACGAGGCAAATTGTAAAAAAGCCGGCAAAAGACACGATACCATGTCCAACCATTGCGGAGTCCAGAAGATGCAAAATGGCCTTGAGGCACTGTCCAGGAGGTAAGTGCGCTAAATGTCTAAACAAACATCATGAGCACTTATTTCTGACCAAAGCTGGCCTTGTTTAACTATGAGGTACTGAGTATTTTCCTTTGTTTTTGAAAATCAAGTACAGAGGCCCTTTTCTCTTAAAATACATATGCTGAAGTACAGACTGTATCTGAGGGGGTAGAGCAAATGACTGACATTTTGAAACAGCCTACACAGAACTTTGTTCTGCAGTAACGTAAGGCAGGGTTTTGTTAATAAACTGCAAGGAGTTCAAGGAAGAGACAGCCCAATTCTATGCCTGTGTGGTCAGAAGTACCATGAATTCGATGGCACTTGCTTCCATGTACTTGCGTACAGCAACTTTCCCCAAGATGGTGCCCACCAGATGGATTAGATTATAATTCCTAATAGCTTTGTTGGTTTGGAACTGGGGGATCTGTAGGCCAACACATCCGGAGAAACAGGAAAACGTACGGACTGTATTGCAGATCTAATTGGAAAGCTTTTTAATGCAACGGGATATAATAATCAAATAACATACTTGTGCTTTGTAGCCCATTTGTGGTTAGGAGTAGATTGTTCCTATATTTTGCTGCCTTCTATAATGAATTATGATTTAACTCTATGTTGGTTTTTTTAACTTTATCAAATTAACCACCTCCTTCACTCTCTGCTCATTCTTGTTAATTACAGAGGAAATGCTAAGGGAGAGAAAATGGGGTGACTCTAAGAAGGGAAAGTATCTGTTAAAGATGAGTTTTGTTTTGTTTTTTTACTTCCTAACATTTTCAATTCTATAAACTCATAGCAACATGCAGCATAAGTATTAGCTTATGTAACCAAAGGCACTAATAAAGTGGGATGGATTAAACCAAAACCAGGAAATAAAGATATTTTTAGTGGGACGGGGTCAAGCGTGTGTGCTTTCTGACATATGCTTTCTATTTCTGTTTGTTTTGTTTACATTTCATTGGTACACTTTATGTGGTCTGCTTTAACACACTAGGACCCAATTTTTGAGCTCCACACAGGAGGAGTGAGTTTACTTTGATGCTGTAAACTGAGCAATCAGACATTCTTGACTGTGGATTCACATAGTTTATAGTACCTCTTTTGTTTTTATGCATGGTATTATAGTTGCAAGTGCTTTTTTTTTTTCATCTTATTATTCTCTGGAGCATCTTGAAAAATCTGATTTTCTGATTAGCTCGCAGTAAAGACCTCTGCCTTCTTTCCTATTCTTAACCTGGTTTGTCTTTCCTTTGACATTCAAACTGCTTGATAGCTGGGTACAGTCCAATCAGGGAGGAAGGAAATGAGGGTGATATGTGGGACCAACTGTCAAAAACAGGTTGATGGAAATAAAAATAGAAGTGAACAGGCCCTAGAGAAAAAGTGGGGAAGAGAGACAGTTGTCTGGATTTGACTGCTTAGTGGCTTCCACTACATGAGGTTCAGATCTCTTAACTGAGATTCACACATGTCATTTTGAAATATTTGGGGCTTTCTGGAATGATCCTAGTAGTGACACTTTGTCTGATATCTTTTTTTGTGCCAATAAAACTAGACACAAATGGCTCTCTCAGTCTGGGTTTCTCTCAGTTTTAGTTGCAGTTTTGCTTCATATGCTTATTTTTATATCATTTTTTAAAAAAGAAAACCCAGTTTGTATGAAAATTCATACTGATTTTGGGGCCTATTTCTCCTTGTGCTTGGATTTTTATATGGAATTTTGCCTAATGACACTTTTTGGCAGTGGTTTTCTAAAGTAATACTCATTAGCCTTGTTAACTAGTCACCTTAGAATGAATTACTTGGATCAGTAATGAACACAGAGTGCCTACTGGCTAGAATATCTATTGAGGCTGATAAGACAAGGATATGCTGATTAACAGTAAAGTGATCTTACCATAAATGTTGAAATATTTCCCTTGTCTTACATATAATTTGAATTTTCAGTGCTGATAGAATGTAACATTCTCTTTCTCCTCTCTTATTGAATGTGTACTATTTTTCAACATAATTTTTCATAATTTTACTTAACGACTTATGACAGATCTTTTCTCTTCTCTTGGTGGAAGAAATGTTCATGAACATCCCATAACAACATCAAATCACAGTAGAAAAAGTAGTATGCGGCCCATTTTCTACCCAGAACAATATTCCTGATCAATGCCAGAAGACACCTGAATGAGTTGACTCTGGATTACATAAAGAGCTTTTCCCAACTTGGTTGCTTCTGGATGTGTTCAGATTTTAACTTCTAGAGGACATAAGTTGGAGAACACTGCCATAGTCTCCACACTGCCAGTGTTCTCCAAAAAAATGTTATTTTTTCAACTGCTTTTTCAATTAGACGAATTTTAAATATGTCCAGCCTTACATATTTTGGAATGGTACCTAAAAAAATAGACGAAAATATTGTAATTGTAATTAATAAAATTAAATACTACTTGGGGGACAAGTCGTATTTCAAATTGTTACTACAGTCATCAAATACCTCAGGGAACTATTAAAAGTGGTTGATAAAATGAAAAGTGGGTATTACCTAAATGCATTTCAAATTGCTCCAAACTTTTCCACACTGATGATTTTTGGATATCATCCAGAATTGGATTTTTTTGGGAAGGAAAACAGTTTAATGAGATTAATAGTTTAACTTTGTTAATATTTCAGCTTTTACTGTTTTGAAAAATTTCAGCTTCTTTGGTTTAGAGCTAGCACAAAATTCTGTTTGCTTTTCCAATAGATGATTCTTTATGACTTGGATTGGAGTTCTCTATTTTGCAAGTGTGAAGTATCAAATTGAACATGTTAATAAAACAGCTGAAGAATAATCATCTGTTTTTGGGTAGCCTCTGTAGCAGTGGCCAGTGTATGTAATGCTTCTGCCATCCAAGGATTTTAAACTCTGAATTTTAAGAAGACCCTGAATAGCAATTAGTCTGTTGATTAGAGAAGGTGGTGAGATGGTGAGAGGTGACAAGGAGAAAGCTGAATTGCTTAATTTCCATTTTGCATCTTGCTTTTCACATTTAAAAATATGGCCCAACCTGGCAAAAGTGACACCATGGAGGGTAGAACAGAAGTGCTGGTCAAAATAGGTAAAGAATTGATGAGAGAACATCTGGATGCTTAGGGTACTAAAGAAACTGGTAGATACAATCTAAAAACCACTGACTTTAGTCTTTGAGAACCTCTGGAATACAAGGGAAGTACCAGAACATTAGAGAAAAGCTAATATTGTTTCCATCTTCAAAAAAGGAAAAAAATCTGGGCCCAAGAAATTACAGACTGGTCAGTTTAACGTTGGTACCTGAGAAAATCCTAGAAAAGGTAATTCAGCAGGGAGGTTGCAAGCACTTTGAAAGGAACAAGGTGATTGCTAGAACCCAGCATGGTTTTGTTATAAACAGGTCATTACATCTTTGTGTGTGTGTGTGTGTGTGTGTGTGTGTGTATAGATAGATAGATAGATAGAAGATCAAAGGAGTTTACTTAGATTTCAAGAACACCTTCTTGAAATCTCCTTGAAAAAGTTGACTATAGTCTTCTCCTTGATAAAGTGGAACAAATTGGGAATGGATGGTCCCACTATTAGATGGATTCACAGCTGATGGAACAACTGTATCCAGCACTTGTTCTTAATAGTTCTGTGTCCACGTGGAGGAAGATATCCTCAGATTGTGTCCTGGATCTAGTGCTCTTCAACATTTTCACAAATGACTTGGATGAGGGGATAGAATAGATGTTCATCAAATTTGCAGATGACACAAAGCTGGGTGGAGGGTGCTAGCACTTAAGAAGACTGGCTCAAGGTTCAAAAAGATTTTGATGGACTTGAATATTGGGCCTTATCCAACAAAATGCAGTTCAGTTGGAGAAATGTAGGCTTCTGTGTTTGGATAGGAAAAATCAGATGCACAGAGACAACGTAGGTGGTA